TGAATACTTGGCATCGATGGGTTGTCCTGCAGAGGCCGGCAGATGGAATTGATAATTGCCGTTGTGACTTTCGAGTGACGACGTAGTAACTTGGGAGATGAGAAGAAGACTTTCAAGTCTGGTCACAGACTCTGATATCTTGAGCAAGAGATGTAAGAGTGCCTGAAGACCACCAACGCTTTAGTTAGAATTTGGACCCCATAGATCGAATATGAACCTTCTCTTCGCGTAATTTGGTGCGGGCATCGAGCGTCTCTTGAATGCTATCTTGCGTAGCCTGGAGGCCAGCTCGCGATTCCTTGCATGGCGAATCAGCGGGACGATATCACACGTAGAGTAATGGTGATGCTCACTGTGATACGTTTCCGCAAGTCGTCGAGCGGGAGCTTGAGCTTCTCCAATCTCGAGCCTTCGCCTCTTAGGTCTGTACTCAGACTAATGAATGCCTCGTAGTCGTCATTGATGAGTAGCACCAACTCCTCCTTCAACGAAGTAAGGTAGTCTCTAAGCTCTGAGCGCAAGTCTTGTGGAGATGTGTGTGATCGAGAGAGTAAAAACTCTTCGACGTTGAACACTTCTGCAGTTAGATGAGGGTTGTCATGCGATAGTGGGACATAAATCGGCAGCTCCGTCGAGGCAGTAGTTCGGGGAGTATAGGTAGACCCTGCGAGCTCACGCGCAACGAGTTCTTCCGCTAACCGTTCCAACTCATAAGGGTCGGGAGATTTGGCAGCGGCTTGGGAGACGCGCGAAGACATGTGTGGTATCGGTCAGCGCGTACTACAACGCGATTCTACCGGAGTGGTCATAAGGTATAGTATATTGTGTAGTAAAGTAGTACTAGTACTGGTACTGTGGTTGCGATAACTTAAGGTCAATAATCATAAACATGCTTACAGCAGAGTATTGTCTGTGTCAGTAGTGTACTTCGTACTTCGGGTTTGGGTATGCAACCAGTATCCACAGAATAATTCCATAGTGTGTGAGTGTCTGTTGATCACGTCCATTAGCTAACAACCAATTGTGGTCGCAAGTTTATCATGATTTTTCCTCCAATTCGCTGAGAAATGCTAGCCACGTCTTCTTGTCGATTACGCCTTCATCTGAAAAGTGCAACTTCAGCAACACAAAACGGGAGTGAATGAATATTCGTACAGTCACCATCAGTGTCCGTCACTATAACATAACGTGCACCAAGCTTCACAAAGAATTGGTGAAGGAGCTCCAAAGGCGAGTTGGACTGAATCATCAATGGCGCCTACGTCCATTTGAGTGTCTGTACATTATGAAATCAAATGAAAGGAAATACCTGGTCCATGTATACGCTGAAGTCGAATGGATCGTCTTCACTCTGCCCTGGCTCTTCCACCCAGGTCGAATATGAAGTAGCCAGTTCCTCATCCGCATAGGTAGTGTGGAAGCGAACCTCCTGGGTTGCTCTCTCCGCTACGACGGCTATATTTTTTGTCAGATGATATTTGTATGGGAAAATGAGGGTATCTACCGAGAGCATGCTCTAGTTCGCTAGCGCCAATGTAGCCAACCATGCGCAGACAATCTTCGTCGCGACCTGGCCTGAGAATAGGGAAACCACCGTCATCATGCTCAGCATTCAGAAGTGATTGCAATTGGTCCCGAAGACTTTCAACGGTATTGTGTTGGTCAACCCTGATCACATCCACATCCCGATCGGTCTAGAAGTGATACTAAGTCGGATCTCAACAATGAGTACTAATGCCCTTACCACTTCCTTGATGGACAGATTTGACCATAAATATTCGTGTTTAGCATCTAGGTACGGAAGTTGAGATAGCCTGTGAAAGTGTCAGGAAGACCGGTGGAGTTTGGACTAGGTTCTCACTCAATGACCAGGTCATAAATTCCCTTAGGTTCCAGGGCATCGGCTACGGTCTTGGCAACGAGGACAGACAGCATGACAGGAACAGCATACGTGAGGGTATCGGTCAGCTCGAACATGATGACCGATAATGACACCGTCGTTCTCTGAAGAAGAGTCAACTTTTTGGTACCGAGGACTTGGAGCCGGTTACTCACAGTGACGCCAGACAAGGCCGCTGCAGGCTCCCACCATTGCATAAAGCCCAGGCACGACACAATCCATGTCACCTTCGCATACATCAAATACAATACTGTTCGGGTAATGGTACTGAAGCCATTGCACAGCAATGCCAACAATCCGTCCAGCACATGCACCTACTCCGAGGGTAGGTATAAAAATCCCAGCTGGCAATTTGATGCCAAATGTAATTATGGTCAGGAAACCCTTGACTATCATGGCAACAAGGATTGCTCGCACAACAGACCAAACATGGTCGAAATTACTTGGATCCAGGACACACAAATTGAAATGTGTGTTTTTACTACCTGTACGGCATTCTGAGAAGAGATTATAAACAAGATCTGTGCCCCCCATGCGCGCATAGGGACTTGAAAGGCACAAGACGGTGGTTACGAGGGTCACCTACATCATTAAGAAGGCTAGATAACGGACAAACAAGGTGATGCTCACAAGGATGACTTCTGCAACTGGATGCGCCTTTAACCATGTTCCGCCACGAACGTCACGACTCCAGCGGTAGTTCAGCTTGGAGAAATACGCGCCGTATACTCCCTGAGACCTCGTTCAATGAGCTGTCCTCCAAGAGAACTGAGATACGCACTCCAAGAACTCCAAGTAGGATGAAAAATATCAGCTCGTATGCATGCCAATCCTGTCGGATATAATGAGCAAGTGACCAGTCAAATACTGCGTTCCAAACCTTGTCATAAGTGACTTGGAATAATACAACTTTACCAGTTCCGAAAGGATTAAGGAACCGGAGGGTCACAGCCGCTATCATCGCGCAGAAAAAGCTAGAAAGTTAATTCAACACAAAGTCATCTTGGAATGTATGGTGGCTACCTTCTCCACATAACCTTGAAACATCCAACAGCAGATTTAGAAAATGATTCACGCACAACGGAAGGATATTACCTTTGGCGGGAAGAAGTAAGAGACTTCTTCCAAGCTAAACAGGGTCCCACCAATGGGTGCCCCAAATGCAACAGCGACACCTGCCGCGCATGCTGCACTAAGTATCTCACGACGTTTGGCTGCAGAAAAATGAATATGGAAAAAAAAACTTAAACACCAGAAATTAACCTTCGTTGTTTTCATACTTGGTATGATAACGACTGACGATGTTGCCTATGCAACTCGCAATGTGAACGAAAGGTCCCTCCTTGCCTGAATTTCGGGCCCATCAGTGATCGCGTGCCAGAAGTAACTTGCGAAAGTAATCACCAAGAGACAGTCCTGAACTAACTGACAAAGCCAGTCCAAGCGCTTTAATAAATAGCACGCGCCCACCGAGATAACCATGGATGACGAAGCCTGCATTAATAGAAGAAATTGAAAATGAGAGATGGCCATTTCAACTTTGACCGTCACAAACCAGATAAAATTGTCTTGATTTCCGGAATTCCACTCCCTGCAGCCTGTTATGGCGTATCATAATCAGTGTGGGCACTCTGTAGAAAGACTTGTGCGTACATAGTAGATCACACCACGCTTGGGCTGCGAAGAGCTCGGGGCGTTTTGTTCACCACTCTTGTTGAAATCCGGAGACAGAACTCCGGATTCTTTACGAGTGACGAAGGACGTCGACGCCGTGAGATTGATTGTGAGGAGCGACGAAGTACTGGCCAATACAATCTAAGGATGTATGAGATGCCGTATGACCATAATTCAGCGACACAGCCGAGAAACCTACCGCAATGACTGTCAACGCAAGATATTGCACAACACTATCTTCACCTCCCGATCCGCTGCCCGTCCACGACGCAAAGACATCTGACCAAGTCCTCCAAGCGGGACAATGGCCATCCAAAGACCCATACTCATCGGGCAGAGGACAGCAAAAATGACGTGCATGCCACAATGCGGTCTTACAGTAGCCTTGTTTCACATCAAACAGCCATTGTTCTGCACGGACGACAAGAAATGCAACTACGGCAGTGAGGAACCCGACGACCGTGACAATGATCCACCCAAGGCTCTTGTCGAACACAAGTCGGACTCTGGAGCGGATAGACTTGCCGCGCCGGAGCCGAGCAAAGCGGACCGAATCTTTAATCGAATCGTGAAGCCAGTCAATTGAGGTAAACGAGGAGTACCATACGCGGAATCCGTTTGTTCGAACGTCGATGTCAGTTTCCGCAGCATCGGCATTGGCATTTACGAGCTGGGCATCGTAGGCAGATATGGGCCGCTGATGAGGAATTCGCCTGTAGTGTGTACTTTGTGTAAATGTTGTCGAGAAGGCCGATGGAGAGTCGGGAACAGAAATAGTCCCACTTCGCGTTATAGGAAGGCTTGTAAGAGTAGGTCGACGAGGAGCGATCCAAAGACTGGTTTGGGTGCGTGCGCGACGCGGGCGAACGATGGGCAATGTTCCGTAACCGGTGCCGCTGGGGACTGCGCAAAACGCAGTCGTCTCATCGTCTGCTTGATTTTGTGCTATGGGTGTCGGATTCGGATAGCTACCAATTTGTTGCAGACGTTGCCTGCGGTAATCGGTATCAGATGGGTCACTCAGAAGTCCAGAGGGAGGATCAGATTGAATGATCGCGAGGAGTGGTGAATTTGACATTGTACGGATATTTCTAGTTTTGTATCAGCATTACGGTAGCGCATCATCATGTTGCGTGAATTCATACACAATTGCTGCAGTCGACGTTGACCGCGTTGGAGAACACAGAGACGGTGACAGAACAAGACTTGTTCGGTTTGTGCTGGTGTTCTATCGCACTCAGGCTTCTTCAATGAATTTCTTCTCTCCGCCCAAGGTCCCTTGAGCCTGAGAGTCTGAGACTTGCCACGCTGTCACTAATTTAAGGAGTACTATCCCTTCCACTGCAATCGGCACCCCACAGAAGTCGGCAGGGAGTACTGACCATTTAGGCAAATTTATTTGTTCCCACAAAACAAGACCAAATAACACATCAAAGAATTCAAACTCTTACACTGACAACCACTCAGAAATGGCAAACACGGGGCTTGGTGTGCCAGTCAAGCTACTCCACGAGTCCTTAGGACACATTGTTACCGTGGAACTCAAGACGGGCCAACTTTATCGTGGAAAACTCGCCGAGGGTGCGTCTATTTTCGAGCATCACTGTCATAGATCCTTTCTGATTCATCTACGCTGCTAGCCGAAGATAACTTGAACATCTCACTCAGAGATATAACAGTAACAGGACGAGATGGCCGTGTATCACAACTAGATCAGGTGTATATCAGGGGAAGTATGGTCAGATTCTTCATTGTGCCAGATATGCTGCAGAATGCCCCCATGTAAGTTGCATACCATCGGATCTCGAGATCATCCTGACCTTGTCACTCAGGTTTAAGAGAGTTGGTCCCAATGCCATGCGCGGAAGAGGTATAGGTACTGCGCGCGGTCGCGCAACTATTATGAGAGGTCCGTTCTTGTGTTTTTCTGTGTCGTATGATTCACTGATTGAACAAACTCTTTAGCGAACGGTATGGTTATTTTTCTTCTTCTGGAACCCGTGATCTAATCGAAATGACAGCTCGTCGGGGACGTGGCGTCCCTGCCCCAAGAGGCATCAGGAGGTGATCTGATGACATTCCTGCGGTAAAAATGTACATATTTTCGTAATTCTGTAACTTGTGCAACGCCAACCTGTTTTTTGACTGCAAGGGTCCCTTCGCGCAATTTATTTTTGTTGCAAGCTAGGGGCTTGTACTAATGTATCTTGAAATCCGCATTCATGTGGAAGAGCTTTCTTACGTTGACGCTTATTGAGCATGGAAGCGAGCTCAGATGGAGAAATTTCAGAAAAGCTCGTTTACAACCCTTGAGTTTCGACTTGAATATAGTCCCGGGTGAGATCAATATTTGGACCATTCAAGTAAATGCAGGAGCTAGGAAGCCATGGATTCTGTTAGTCTCCATTGGTCAGATTCAGAAGGGATTGGTTTGGGTAGCAAGAAGACTGCCAGCGCTTTGAGATAGTAAAACCGGAGTAACCCAAGATGCCATCATGATTTTAGTTTTAAAATAAGATAAAAAAATTCTAGTCGTAAGTGATCTCACTAGAAGTCAGAGACACGCCCTTTGAAACTCCAGTCACCGCCGTCATCACTCCACTTCCTGACGGGCTCCCTTTTCGGACCTCCTTGTTCGCCAGTTCTGGGATTGACATCACCATCAAACTCCGGCGTTAACGGTTTACGAGCGTCAGGGTGTAACGACATTTGTGCCTCTGTTTCAGCGTACGAGAGGGTTGGAGATGAGAGGGGCATTTGGGCACTACGCTGTAGTTCTTCGAACTCTCGTTGAAGTTCGCGTGGAAGGGGAGGAGGAGAAGGTCTGTTTAAGTTGGATGAACTCATTCTCCGCGTCCCGATTACGAGGCATTGTTGTGGGGCTGACTTGGCAGCCAGCGAACGGAGCCGAAGAAAGGGATGTAAGGACATGCGGGATGGCATAAACGTCTCTTAAAGTTTAACAAGCTCACGCCGGGCTACTGGTGGCAGGTGCCACATCAGGAAACAGTTTTGAGGATTCATTTGGAATGACTCACCCAACAAAGTTTAGGTAGTCGCCTGCTGTATTTTAACACAAGGCCTGGATGATCAAGTACTGGTCAGGTGGGTTGGTACTTTACGTCAAGTGACCGAGGGGCGGGTTTTGAAGAAAAAGAAGACCAAGTATGTAGCCAGCGAAGTGGTTTGGTGTTCAGCGATCCGCTTACCGGCGGCAAAACCTTGACAAAAGGTCGATCAGCGATCGCAGGCTCAATGATTTGGATTTAGGCTGCTTTAAGGGTGATAATTAATTTTTGGTATTGTAATTGGATAATTTGGATTTGTTATCCGTATCGGCTTGGTTTACGGCACCGAGAGTTTAAAGTCCGACTAGCAGCACGTGAGAGTGAATGCAATGAGCAGGGGGGAAATAACGTTGCTGACCAAAATATTTAACCTGGTTTGTCGTGAATCGTAATGCTATGTTTCCCTGTCTTCTTCACTTTCACACCTTTCAAGCAGTCTCCCTTCTGTGACAAATATTCACTATAGGTTAACCGGATATCAGGCCAGTCTTAATTGTCTTTCCGTGACCGTGTTATTTTAGTTCCCTCAAAGTGCTATCGTGGATCTTCCTGAATCATTCCTCCCTTGACCCTCCTTTTGATCTTCGTATCCTTACAAATCCGTGCCCACTTCTTCATATGCATCCTACTCGTCCCTACTACTCTTCAAACGTCTATTCATCCAATGTCGTAGATATTGGCGACCCTTATGCGGCATCCCAGCAGCCCATGGCCAGCACCTCTATGGTCACTCTGCAGCAGACCCAATCGTACTCCAGTGACCACAATGCCTACAAAAAGCGAAAGATCGAGCGAGCATGCGATGCCTGTCGCCGTAGAAAGACTAAATGTGATGGCCCACGCATGCCTGGCAATATCTGTACCAACTGCATACAGAATCGCAAGACCTGTTCTTATATGTATGTTCGAGGGTATCATACAAGTGAAAGTTATTGAACGATTGCGGTTCTTGCAGCGAAGCTTCGAAGCCTAGAGGTCCTCCAAAGGCGTATGTGCTACCCCCGTTCTCTGACCAACTATGACAATAGAACTGAGATCGTGTACAGATATATCACCGGTCTCGAGGACAGGTTGGAAAGAATGGAGGCACTTCTAAAGCGGGTGCGTAAATCTCACGTTTATTGATCCCGCCCAGCATGGTGGGTGTCTCGAGAATGTGTCAAGGTCTCCAATGCAACCAGACCTTCACGCCCTATCGCATGTCTCTCCGAGACATGATGGAAACTGTAGTTTATCTTCTCATACTTGGCTTGTCTTCTCCGTTGCTCCTGACTGACTGACTGACGATTGTTGTATAGCTCCGCCCTGAGGCTGACTTCTCGGAAGAGCTTGGTGTACCAGTTGTCCGTGATTCTTGGAAACATGATGCAGAACCACAATACCGTCGTTCCCCAGATGAAAAATCAGCATCGCCAGTCGCTCATTTGCGATCTCGTGGGTCACCTAGTCTACCCCCTGTTGGCAAATTCTTGCCTTCATCTAGTGTTAGTGTCAGGAGCCGGCGTTCCGCGGGCACTCCTCGCACTGATACAGACTTATCGTCGGACGCATGCACTTCCTCGGAAAGTGAAGAAGTCGGCGAATTGAGTCTTTCCCGGGGCATGAAGCGTTTAACCATTCGTGGGCTCGAGCCTGCCCAAGAACATGGCTCATTGGTGGATAGTCAAGTTCGCTTCCATGGCAAGAGTAGCTGCTTCAAACTCATCGAACCAACTCGAAAACTCCGCGAGGAACACATCAACCGCATATTTCAAGAGTCAGGCTCAACTGATGCCGAGAGTGCGACAGGTAGTCGTAGCTCACCGGAATCAACGAGTTCTGTCTGTTTTACACCAACGCGACGGCCAGAATTCTGGACCACGCCTTCAGTAAGCATTCATTCTCATCGAGCATCAAATTGCTCATCGCTTGTTCTAGTGGGAATTTGCTTTCGAAGGTTTCCAAGATAGGCTCGAGACGCTCCGCCACTCGCTAACAAAGGAATTCCCCCCACCTGACTTGGCTGACAGTTTGATTAATTTATTCTTTCTCCATATCAACCCTCAATGTCCGCTTTTCCATCGGCCGACATTTGAGCACCAATGGCAGCAGGGTCTTCAAGAAACAGATCCGTGGTTTGGATGCCTGTGCTTGGCGCTATTTGCTGTTGCTAGTCGCTGGTCCGACGATCCCCGCGTATTGGATGGTCATGTGTATAACATACCCGAGGCAGAGATACCTGATGAGGATTGCAAGTGGCAAAGAGCAGGATGGAAGTATTTCAGTGCAGCAGTTGGTATGTTGGCAACCACATCGATTTATGCTCATGGATCTCATTATTTTCTGCAGATGTTCATCGCGATTCTCGCAGCTTGTTTCATCCCCCTGGCCTGTTTGAGGTCCAGACTATGTCTGTGAGTAAATTTACAAAGGCAGCAGTGATTTATAAAAATATCCTATCTACCATAGTTGCTAGGCATGTTTCTACGCGGTACCGCTTTTCATCCAGTGGGATGGCTCTTCATCAGTATTGGCCTCCGCAAAGCTCAGGATGTTGGCGCACACCGCAAGAAGATTTACGGAGCAAAGCCAAGTGTTGAGGAGGAACTGTGGAAAAGAGCATTTTGGGTGCTTGTGCTTTACGACCGCATAGGAAGTGCTGCTCTTGGACGGCCATGTTGTTCTGGGGAAGAAGAGTAAGTCCCACGATTTTTTTTACGTGACCCTTCTGACACATGCTTATCCAGCTTCGATGTCGACCTTCCCCTGGAAGTCGATGATGAATACTGGGAAACCAAGGATCCTGAGAAGGCATTCCAACAACCACCGGGAAAGCCATCAAAGATAGCAGGGTTCAACTCCTATCTAAAATTGACTAAAATCTCCGCATACGCTTTAAGGACCATTGTGCGTTTTCCCACCCCGCAGGTGTCTGTTACGAGTGACTAACTTTCATTGGCATAGTATGCCCTTGACAGGTCCAAATTATTGGTCAGTGCCGCGCGCCCGCGGTGGCATGAAGTTTTGAATCATCTTAGTGCCGCAATGAATGAATGGGTCGACTCAGTGCCCCCTCATTGTAAGTAATTATTGATTACAGGCGTCGATCCATCTCACGCTTCGATTACAGTGCAATGGTCGCCTCACATGGAAGATCCATTCTTCGCTAACCAATCGGTTACACTGTACACCACCTACTACCTTATCCACATCCTCATTTACCGTCCTTTCTTACCCGGTTCACTTCGCTCCCTTTCCAATGCTGCCCCGCACGCAAACATGCCCGTCCCCTGTATCGCCATCTGTGTCAACGCAGCAAAATCCTGTGCGAAGATACTGCGGGCACAGATTCAAAGGGGTATATCTAATATACCCACGCTCATTTGCGGGTCACACATGTGTGCTGCGATTCTTCTCATGAACTTTTGGGATTTGAAGTGGCAAGAGCGCAATCAACTCCAGTCTGGTGGAGTGGAGGACGTGAAGCCGACACTTGCTGTTGCAATGGCAGAGCTCCTTGAAGATGTCTCCTTTTTCATACAAGTGCTTGAACATCTGAAACCGCGATGGAGAAATGCCGAGATGTATCTGTACGTTACACAATCTATTATTTGACCGTTACTGAGGTTTCCTGCTGTCTAGAAAGGACCTTAGTACTTCAATGCCACACAGCCTCAACGGCTCTGGAAGTGGTGTTCACAAAGGTAATCTGTCACTCCAAAGTTATGGGGGCAAAGACGACGCGCACACACTGTTGCCGCTACCAGAACATCACGCCCATTCTCCGGATTATCGCCCTAATCCCTCATCAACCTATCATCCTACGCTCCCGCCAGTCACTAGATACCCATACGTCCCACTGGCCGAGCCCGTTAACACCAGTCCTCAGTGGTTCGACTTCCCGCACCTTACCAGACATCCAGTTCCTGCAGTACTACCCTTGTGGGCATCCCATGGGCTAACGCAAAGCGGGAACACCCCTTGGAACCAACTACAAACTCGTCCCTCGTCCTTGCAATCTTCTCATCCTCACAAATACGACCATCCCGCCATCCATCATTCCCTAGAAGCTCCGAAACCCTCGATCACCAGTCTCGACTCTGGAATAATGTTACCTGCGAACCTTGTGCACAGATCTGATACAAGATTGCCATGTGACGACCCCGTGCCACATCCGCAGTTTGATCCTGCAACCTCGTTCAATAATTATACCCAGCATAGTGGCAACGGCCAAATGCGTGCTGAAGCCACACATCACACATACACCACTCATTCAGAATCCAGGTCTGTCTTTCGTCTGATTAAAACTTAGTCTTCTCACGCCGTCCTTTGCCCTAGGTACGAGTGGCCAGCAGCTGAGTGGGAGCAAGCGTATGAACCTCGATCATTGATTGCCGACCCTTCTCCACCTCGTCCCAGCAACATACTGCATTCCAAAGGGAGTGAATACTCGCAAGGGCACATCGTCTCATATTCCGGGCACTATTAACATCAACGGGTAAACAAGGGACTCGCCGTCTTATGTATTTTCCATGACCAGTTTCATGGCGTTTGATGTCGAGGCCTCAGTTGATGATGTAGTTATCTTCTAGTTTACATACCATCCATCTTAGTGTTTCCTGTAGATCGCGACCGTTAGATTTTACGGTGCTTTCTGCATGCAATGAAGAGCTCCCTAGTCTATAGGACTATACAGCTGTGATACATGATCTAAATTTCGGCTCATTATGAATCACACATGAGCACGAGATACAGGTCAGCTGCAAATATTTCGGCCAATATTCGGACCGACATATGTCATCCCCCCTGTTCCCAATGAAGGGAGAACAGCAACTGTGGCACGTTTAGCTATGATTAGGGTATGGGGCGTTACCCAAGTGCTAGTAGGGGTCCTATCAATAACCTTGAGGGAAGAATCTATACGCCGCACTCTTCGATTTCTTTCCGGTGTGCCTTGCTCCTTGCACCTGTGACATGGATGACGAGAATCTGAATCTTCAATCTTCCTTGATGGGGTTATAATAGATAGCATTTCCATGCAACGCGTGCCTATGCGTGCGTGAGATAAGACAGCTCCTGACGGCCATCTCGACAAGCGAGCGCCATTAGGAGTCGTTTGCGGTGTAATAGGGAGCGAAACATCGTGGTTTCTAGCGGCACACACGATGCCTTCAAGGCACGGAAGAGACGAGACTTCTGACGCCAGTGCACCAACGTGCGTTTATTCAGCACCTCGTCTATGTTGCCGATGGGACCCATGGTGATGCCCAACCTCTTCACTGGATTATGCGCGGAGTGGAAGACATGTGGCTAGAAATAAATGCTACGAGGGGACGACCGGATGAGAGGGAACCTGCGGTAAACTTTGATTGCGCACCCAATGCGAGACAAGCGATAGTACTACAGCAGTCACCGGGCCGAGGAGGAGTTCAGGCGGGAGGATGGCGACCAGGCTAATGATTCAAGCAGTTGACGCGTATACTCTCGATGGGCGCTTACACAAACACAAAAGTCGTACATAGTGTAAAAGAAGCAAAAAAGGTCAAATCTAGAAGGTCATAGAAAGATTTATGCAGAATTGCATATAGTTAGCATGCCCTAGATCAACCAGAACTTCAGAAGACGAGTTGAATGAATTTCGCACGAGGTTAACTTGACGTTAACGGACGTTGCCGGCGTCAGGGGGTGTGCTGATCATGAGTTCGACGGGCAAGTGGGAGTTAATTCACTAAAGATACGGAAATTCACGACAACGATGTGTCTATGCGGTACAAAGGGAAAGGGAGTGGCACCACTGTCCAACCGTCTCAACCGCATGCAGCCAGTGCGATGCACGTCAAAATGCCCCCACAATCATCCCATGCTCCAAAATTCAATTGATGGTTCCCTAAAAATTGCCAAAGACTCTCCTATTAGTGAGTCAGGCCGTCAACTTAGTAAGTATCAACACATAAGCTCGGTGACTTGAGCAATTGTGTTGACAGTTTGATGAGCAGGGTCGCTGAAGGTCCGCGTGCCTGCGAAAAGCTCTTCTGTGCCTTGCAAACGCGCATTTTCGGATGCTGGGTTCACAAATCATGTAAAGGATAAATCAAAGAAGGAGAGGAAGTACCTTGCGATGTCGTGAACAGGTTCGGGTTCGGGCAGTCCTGCCTAGGATTCAGAAGTTTCCCATTTCATCACTAGCAGGAAGATATCAACCACGCGCACCTAAATTGTTGACCCTGCTCGGCAATCCTTTGGCTGTCATACGACACAAGTGACCGGTAAGATTAGCGGGGCTACCATATACATGCATGTGCCACTGGTGCTCACAAGAAATGAGTGAATTCACCGGTACTCGCAAAAGATAAGGAGCTCATGAGTGCTACGTCATGGCAGTTATAAAAGGGTATAAATTTAATATGACGCCGCTAGCCCTGCGAAACATAACATGAGAAATATGATTTGTCGATAAATTGGGGATGGCAGCTTGAGATCTGTTGAGAAATCCAGAATGGCGTAATCAAGGAGTGCCTGATCTGAACCCACTAAAGTTGAGCATTCTGGCTTCATGTGAAAGTTGGCTTCAACCGGACCTACGAAGGTTCATGATCGTAATTTAAAGTTATTACTGGGGGGAGGAAGCAGGAGAATCTAATCGTTGAAAACATCTGGTGAGAATCGCCGCGCAACTAGGTCGCCAGGGCTATTGGACGGAACGCCCATGCCAATGACGTGCTGACTCTGCTGAGGCACAAGGATTTGAGACAATGGTGTTCGACGAGCTCCTGCCGATGATATCACATTGCATTGCAGGCATATGAAGGACAAGCAATGTACGACGATCCTCGGAAAAGTACACATTTTAACATCGTGTCACGGAGACATCCACAATCGGGATCCCGCAGAGACAAAATTGGTGAAGTGGGATGTACAAGGGATGGGTCGTGATTTTCTTGATATGGGAGCATGTAGTGGGAATACTTGATGCGGCTGTTGCATCGAGGTGATGAGCACGCAATACCAATAGCCCGGAAATATATGACATAGTCGTGATAGATATTAATAACACAAAACCTGCTGCAACACAAATAAAGACTTACATCGTCTAGATCTAAGAACCCACATTGGAAATTTTAGTGCGTTATGGTCGATCGACGCGCAAGGCTTGATATGTCTTCTGAAGGTGTTGCTGCCTGCTGTTAGTTTGCTCCCACATACAGAGTACGACGTTGGGTATGCCACACTGTCACCATCTAGATCCGACATCTACTTCTCCCGTATCCTTCCAGCACACATGAGTTGTGAGTCGTGTATCGTGATGCACAAATTTCTCAATATCCAAAATAACGAAACCGTCACCTTTGTATTCGTCAGAACTTGCCATATCCAGGACGACCTTTATCGCTTACATGGCTAAATGAATATCCCTGATGTTGCTTTCCGAGGACCTCGGTGCGACCTACAATTTGTCCTCATTCCTATCGCCCCCAACTTGCTCAACCCTAATCAAAAGACTGGCGTACATAGTGGATACCAAGCAACGGATGTATTCGTCCCTGCCCCGATATTGTACATTTGAACAGGGCTGGCAGGTTGGCAGACTGATTGAAGCAACTGGGCAAATCCGATGCAATGCATAGATTGTCGACAACCAATAAGTACATGTGCGCAGCAGATACCCATCGTACACCGTGGCAATGGTCATTGATCGATCTGATCAGAGTGGTGAAACGAAGGACAATGCGATGGTCACTGCCTGCCACGAAGACCGTGACCTCCCTGGCTGCAGTCAAGGCTGCCTTCTAGTGATCCATCTTCTTGGTCTGCAGCAAGAGCGTCATCGTCATTCCCTGACTTTTTGCCTGGATGGGAAGGCCATCTATGACTCGACATTTCTGCAATAGCCTGTCGGCGAGTCCAACTGATCTGTGCGACAAAGGCAGCTAAAGTCTAGAATAAATTGAAGGCGGTTCGTCGTAAACTTCGGGTAAGAACATAAGGACACTCACTAGTAATACGGTACCCATGATTACTCTCTCTTTCCACCGCTCATCACTAGCTGTATCGTCGAAATGAGGACGACGCGACCTAGTTGACCATCGTATCGGATCCACTTTGTGAGCAGCTTCGACCGGTTCACCAGAAACAGATGCTTTTCCTCGAAGTATGTCGTACGCTCTAGAAATAGCTCGAAACCGCGCCTGCGACTCCTCAGAGGGATAATGACGAGCGACAGCCGAGTCTGGGTGGTAAATTCGGACGAGTTCATAATCTGCTTTGTGTTACTAAAGGTCGTACGAAGGCAGTGATATAAGATGATACATGCATCTCCGTTTCACATCCTCCTGGTTTGCACTTCGCGGTAAATGGAAAATCTGGTGCGGCTGAGGATTTGTTTGCGTTGGATAGGGATAGGGATTGGCACTTTTGGACGCGTACGAACGAGAGCTTCGCTGTAAGATAAAGAGGGTGTGCACTCGAGAACGACTCTGAAAAGTGGGCGCTCGCTGCATCAGCGTGCAATAGGCGTCGGAAGATTGGATGATGTGTGCTGGCCAGCCAGCCAATATGTCTGCCTTGAGCCACTTTGATTGAAGTTCATTGAGCTGACAGCCGTTCCTTTGGGTCCCGTTCCGATCCGGTCGAATCATATTGTATTGAAATTGGCTAGTACCGTACTACTTGCATCATATCACTACACTAGTACTGTACCAAAACATTCGGGCATCGTACATACTCGGGTATAGAAAGGGGAAGGATAACATAAAAAAGTATGTGTGAGTGCGTCATGATGAGGATCGCCGTTCAAGTTGACTGGAATTAAAATTCACAAACTCACAACAAGGCGGCCAACATTGAGAGGATCCACTTTAACGCGCAGACCCAATCTACATGACGATGAGAACCAACTTGCGATGATATGCAATGCACATACCTTTTCCCATATTTTCGAATTGCAGGTTTGATCCTCGCGATGTTATTCTCGGAGTGATTTCCCTTTCCTAAGCAAATTTACGATCAATAAGAAACCTGTCGCTGGAGTTGAGTCGGTGATGGAATGTCTTACCTACGATCACATGAAGTGTCGGCTCTCCATGGTTCCGAACCTTTTGAACAGCATCGTCAAAGTACAACTTGGCTTCTGAGACAAAGAGTCGGTGGAGATCAATTGTGTCGAACCTGAGTCCCTGGGGAAAGCGTCGGACAGTAGCGTGTAACATAAGAACGACAACAAACTTGATTGTTCTCTAGATGAGGCAAGAGATAAGTTGGCGAATCTTGCACGGTCTGTCCATCACTCCCATACCTTCAAATATCATCGTGCTGGCTTCCTGATTCAGGTGTATCATGTTGTCTTTGTGCTCATCCCCCTTCAACGAAAGCTTTTTAGCGCGCCCTCCGTTTTTATCAGCATACGCTTCACGGCTCTGCTTGAGACATTCTTTCATACGGTCTCTTTCATCTCTGGCTTTGAGACGAAGAGATTTGGCATTTTCGTAAGGGTCATTCTCAATGGGCGTTACAAGAATCTCTGCAGTTCTTGTAGATAATTCGGGTCCAGAAGTACGACGTGACCGCTGTGTCGAAAAGGTGATTAGGCAGCACTGCAAGATGGATCATGCTATGACAGACCTGAGGGATGTCACTTTGAACAGGCTCGTTCGCTGGTGCAACATTAGGAGATACTGGGGACGTAGGTTGTACGGGTAATTGTATGCTTGGTTGGTGATAAGGCTGATAGGATGTGTGCTGCGAAGGTGGTAGATGAACGGAAGAGGGTTGATGAACGAAAGGGAGTTGATGAGCGGAGGGGGATTGACGGTATTCGGCCGCTGGACGCAGTGGTGGCGATCCTTGCTGCTGCAAGTGAGTGATTTTGTATGGTGAATCAGACTCGGATAGTGAAGTCTGGGGTCGTATTGGCGGTCGCAGGGGCTTTTTCTTGCCAAAGAATATGGATATCACTATCCGTAGCAACCAGGTTGGGCCTTTCAACAGGGCCTCGAGGGCTGATAATACAGTGGGGATGAACATCTGCATCATGGAGTGGGGAATGGAGACAGATCACAGGCCTGGTCGACAGTTAGACTCGACTCGGAGTAGTAGTATAACGGGCGCTACGCCAACATCAACATCTATATTCCACGATGAAAATCTAACGTTACATACGCACGAATGAGGAGACTCTTCCAAAAGCGCCGTCCCACGCGGTCAGCGTATCATCAGAAGTTAGTATGTCACAGCGGTATGCATGAGATGGATACATGGTCAATATTTTGAGCAGAAACGGCGAGCGCAGGATTTGCCCACCTAGTACCCTAAGTCAGAACGTCTGTGGGCACGACCCGACGAAAGATACTGCAATGAGTAGTATAAAGACGAGATTCAAAGTACGGGCCATACGGCCGTCTAAAAGTCTGCCCGGGCAGCGGGAGGCCATCCACACTAAAGTACTAATGGACACTGAGATGCCAACAAAAACCATTGCAATGGTAGGATCGAGGTAATGCAATGGACGCATGCGGACTCGAGCGAGATGACAAAGAGTCTTGTAACCAAAGTTGGCATCGTACAGAATGAATACATCACATCACTACATTGTTACACTACACCAAGACCAGTCTCCTGTAGACAGAACAGAATGAAATATACCAAAACATTTGTTATAGTATCATACACACTCGAGTATGAAAAGGGGAAGGATAACACAAAAAAGCACGTGGGACTCGTGTGAGTGCATCATGATGAGGGTCGTCAAAAATTGCCGTTCAAGTTAGCTGAGATCAAGACTCATAAACTCACAACAAGGCAACCCTCGTTGAGAGGATCCACTTCAACGCCCAGACCCAAACTGCGTGATACCACAATGAGAACCAACTTGTGGGATACGTTCGCGATGCACATACCTTCTCGCACGTTCTTGAATTGCAACTTTGATCTTGGGGATGTTATTTTCGGAGTGATTTCCCTTTCCTAAGCAATTTTGCGATCAATGAGAAACCTGTTGCTGGAGTTGAGTCTGCGATGTGTCTTACCCACGATCACACGAAGTGACAATTCTTCATGGTTCCGAGCCTGTTGAACAGCGTTGTCAAAGTGCAACTTGGCTTCTGGGACAAAGAGTCCGTGGAGATCAACAGTGCCGAAACCGAGTCCCTGGGAAAAGCGTCTGACAACGGCGGGTATCATAAGAACAACAACCAACTTGATTATTTTCTGGATGAAGTTAGAGGTAAGTTGGTGAATTCTGCATGGTCTGTCCATCACTCTCATACCTTCAAATATCTTCGTGCTGGCTGCCTTATCTAAGCGCACCATATTGTCTTTGTACGCCTCACCCCTCAAAGAAAGCTCTTTAGCGCGCCCTCCGTTTTTGTCAATATACGCTTCTTGGCTCTGCTTGAAACATTTTTCCATGCGATCTCCCTCAATTCTGGCTTTGCGACGAAGAGAATCAGCATCTTCATAGGGGTCGATCACAATGGGCGTTACAACAATTTCTGGAGTTCTTGTAGGTAAGTCGGGTCCAGAAGGACGACGTGACCGCTGTGTCGCAAAGGTGAGTAGACAGCACTGCCAGATAGATCATGCTATGACAGACCTGAGGGATGTCACTTCGAACAGGCTCGTTCACCGGAGCGACATCAGGAGATACGAGGGGCTTAGGTTGTGCAGGGAGTCGTATGCTCGGTTGGCGACGAGGCTGATGGGGTGTGGGTGATTGATGAGCGGAAGGGGATTGATGAAAGGAAGAGGGTTGATGAGCAAAAGGAGGTTGATGAGCGGAAGGAGATCGATGAGTGGAAGGGGGTTGATGAGTGGAAGGGGATCGATGAGCAGAAGGAGGTTGATGAGCGGAAGGGGTTTGATGAGCAGAAGGAGATCGATGAGTGGCAGGGGATCGATGAGTGGAAGGGGGTTGACGAGCGGAGGGGGATTGACGGTGTTCGGCCGCTGGACGTGGCGGGTACGAGTGAGCATTTTCGTATGGTGAATCAGATAGTGAAGATAACCCCAAGGATGGTACCGGCGGTGGCCGAGACCTGCTCTTGAATATGGAGAATAGTGTCCATAGCAACCAAGTTGGGCCCTTCAATAGGGCCTTGAGGGCTGATGATACAGTGCCGACGAACTTCTGCATGATGCAGTGGGAGATGGAAACGAATCAAAGGCTTGATTGATCATGATAGTTAAATTCGAGTTGCACAACGAGCGCTACGCCGACATCTATATTCCGGGATTAAAATAATGCATGAATCAAGGGAGAACCCTGACCAAAGCGCCGTCCCATGCGGACTGCTTATCATCAGAAGTTATGTCAGACCAGTGTGCATGGAATGATATTCTGATTAGAGGCGAGCGTGTGATGTGCCCACAGTACCTTGAATCAGAACGCTTGTGGGTCCACATCAGTACTATTGGAAGAATCCTGGTACTGCCTTTGACAAATGGTTTAGCTAATAAGTGGGAAACACTCCATAAGTATATAGTACATACCGCCTCATCAAGTCCTCTAGAGGCTAGCGAGATGGACCCGGATCATAATTCTGACTTGAGTGTAAGCCTTGAATTCTGTATCATACTCATATCACGTACTAACAATCAAAGAATCTGTGAATATTCGAATCTCCGCAGTGACCGCGCAGCTTCCTTGATGCATGTTATATCCAAGTATGATATGTCTTCTTTCAAGTTGGCGTAGAGTCCGTGCAGATACAATTTGCTTGGCTGACCGTCCTGTTCGCATTATTATCATCTTTGAGCGCTTCGGGAATCATCGATGCATCACTAGCATGCCTTACACAGTAACTTGCCTTCTTCTGAGTCCCTTCAAGCACCGTCATGATGCGCATGGGCCGCATGGTTCTGCTAGAAGCATATAGGCTCCGCATTTGAGGTAAAGATGAGTCACTGCCGGCATCGGTGTGCAGCAATTATATACTGTTGTCAGAATTTACATTAAATCGTACGTCTCCCACTTGAGCAGACTTTGGTATGAAAAGAGGCGGACAGTGGTTTATGTACACGAGTTGCGAAGCACATGGAGATCACAAGAAAATTGACATTCAGTGAGTTCACTTAAGACTTACAATAAGGCAGCCTTCATTGCGAGGGTCCACTTCGATCGGCAATCCCAAACTGCACGACATACCTGGTTTAGAAAAATCTACAAAGACGCGTACTGCGATGTGCTTACCTTTTCGCGTGAGCCAGGATTGCAGGTTTGATCTTCGGGATGTTGTTTTCGGAGTGAATTCCCTTTCCTAAACAATTTCACTGTCATCACCGAGCAAAGTTAAAAGGTTTCATTGTGTATTACCTACGATCACACGAAGTGACGATTCTTCGCGGTCTCGAGCTTCTTGAACAGAAACGTCAAAATAGAACTCGGCTTCTGAAACGTGGAGTCCGTGGAGTTCGACTTCATTTCTGCGGTTCTGAAAAAGTTAGACAGCGCTGCCCTTGAAAAAAATACAACAAACTTGGTTATTCTCTGTACGAGGCAGGGGTTCGAGTAAGCTCCCTGAATTCTGCACGTTCCTTTTATTGATTTCGTACCTTGGAATATCTTTGCGCTGGCTTCCTTGTCCAGAAGCATCATGTTCGCCCTGTGTGCTTCACCCCTCTGGGTAAGCTCTTTAGCGCGCTGTTGGTCATTCCTAGCTTTGGCTTCGTTCCTCTCCTTGAAACATTTTCCCATCCGATCTCCCTCCTGTGTGGCTTTGAGACGAAGAGACTTAGGGTCTTCGTAAGGGTCGACTACTACACGCGCTACAGGTACCTCCGGTGCTTTTGCAGTAGGACGTTCACGGGGGTCGATCACCACAGGCACTACCAGCGACGCTCTTGCGGCAGGACGATGTGACTGCTACATGTCGAAGAGGTGAGTAAACGGCAGATGTAACATGCTAGGACAAACCTGAGGGGTGGTGGCTAATGGGGGATATTGTGCGCCCGGCAGGCGATGAGGCTGATACGGCGAGGGCTGCGAAGGCGCTTGAAGTCTGTCATATCCCGAAGGGGTCTGGAAATATTGGATTGCTGGACGATGCAGTGGTTGGTATGACCTTTGCTGCGAGGAAGTAGGCACATAGGGTGAATCTGATGGTGAACATACACCCGAGGATGGTGGCTGCGCTGGCAGGGAGACTTTGAACAAGGTGATGCCAAGAGCTATTAGAACCACGAGGACCACTAGTCCACAGATGATGTATAACGTCTCCATGATGTGGGGGACAGTGACAAATAAAGGCCCTGGTTAAGAACTAGTGGGGACCCTGACCGTCAAAGCGCCGCCTCACGTCAACCTTGTGTTGATACCGTCAGAGGTTATTATATCACATATTAACAATGAGGCGGATATGTGAATACCCATCCAATCTCATCACTAGTATGTAGCTGCAGCTTCCACAGTAGGTTCGTACTACTTGCCTTTCTCTCAGATAGTTCCTTCAAGTTGGCTAGTGCACCGTCATGGTGCGCATGGACCGCGTTGTTTTGATAGAAGCATAGTATAGGCTCCGAGTCTGCACTTGTGCAAGCGAAGGTAAGGATGGTCCTGGATACGTCGATGAGTCACTGCCGGCATCGGTTTGCAGTAATTATGTATTCAAAATTTACATTAGTTATGTAATCGTACATTTCCCCACTGGAGCGGACTTTGGTATGAAGAGGTGGGCAGTTAACTTTATGTACACGAGTTGCGAAACACATGGAGATCACAGGAAAATCGGCACTCAGTGAGTTCACTTGAGACTTACAATAAGGCAGCCTTCATTGCGAGGGTCCACTTCAATCGACAATCCCAAACTGCACGACATACCTGTTTCAGAAAAACTTACAAAGACACGTACTGCGATGTGCTTACCTTTCCGCGTGAGCCTGGATTGCAGGTTTGATCTTCGGGACGTTGTTGTCAGAGTGATTTCCCTTTCCTGAACAGTTTCACTGTCGCAGAACGAAGTTGAAAAGTGTCATTGTGTCTTACCTACGATCACACGAAGTGATGATTCTCCACGGTCCCAAGCTTCTTGAACAGAAGTGTCGAAATAGGTTTTGGCTTCTGCGACGTAGAGTCCGTGGAGATCAACTTCATTTCTGCGGTTCTAGGAAAAGTCAGACAGCGCCGCCCTTGACAAGAACACAACAAACTTGGTTGTTCTCTGTACGAGGCAGGAGTCCGAGTAAGCTTCCTGTATCCTGCACGTTCCTTTTATTGATTTCGTACCTTGGAATATCTTTGCGCTGGCTTCCTTGTCCAGAAGCATCATGTTTGCTCTGTGTGCCTCACCCTTCTGAGTAAGCTCTTTAATACGCTGCTGGTCATTCCTAGCTTTCGCTTCGTTCCTCTCTTTGAAGTATTTTCCCATCCGATTTCCCTCCTGTACGGCTTTGAGACGAAGAGACTTGGGGTCTTCGTAAGGGTCGATTACTACATGAGCTACAGGTACCTCCGGCGCTTTTGCAGCAGAACGTTCATGGGAGTTGATCACCACAGGCACTACCAGTGGCACTCTTGCAACTCTTGCGACAAAACGACGTGGCTGCTGTGTGTCGAAGAGGTGAGTAAACAGCAGATGTAACATGCTAGGACAGACCTGAGGGGTGTAAAAGACGGGCTTGGGCACCGAGGCAGGACGAGATAAAAGGGGGGTGGTGGCTGATGGGAGGTATTGTGCGCTCGGCAGAGGAGGCTGATACGGCGAGGGCTGCGAACTCCCAGACGCTTGAAATGTAGAATATTTTGAAGGGGTCTGGGGATATCGGATTGCTGGACGTGGAGACGGGAGCTGGGGTTGGGATGGCTGGTGGGATGACCCTTGCTGCGAGAAAGTAGGTACATAGGGCGAATCTGATGGTGAACATACACCTAAGGGTGGTGGTGGTGGTGGTGGTGGTAGCTGTAGTTGCGGGGAGACATCGATCAAGGCTATTAGAGCCACGAGGACCACTAGTCCACCGACGATGTATAGCGTCTCCATGATGATGATGTGGGGGACAGAGACGGACAAAGGACCTATTATGATGATTGAGAATCAGTGAGAACCCTGACCGTCAAAGCGCCGCCTCATGTCAACCTCATGTCGATAGCATTAGAGGTTATGTCACAGTGGTATACATGGCAATAGATATATATCATACATACAGCAACACCATATCTTTGTTCCGTAGAATCGCATGTTTGAATGGGAGGCGAAAAGGTTATTTCGGCCGAGATACATCGAATCAGATCCGTAAGGTAATTCAGTGGCCACAAAAGGTACATATCACACTGGATGATCAAGCAAGCTGTACGATCAGAACGCCTGCATTTTGTGGATCCACTTCAACAGGAAGATTGAGCCTTTGACAAATAGTTTAGCTAATAGGCAGAGAGGACCCACAAACCATACGTACTGTTTCATCAAGTCCTCTAGGGCAGGTTTGATTTTAGCGACGTTGCCATTGGAGTGCAAGCCTTTGCCTGCATTCCTGATGTATGAGTTCTGTACCGTAGTCAAAGTTCAATATATTACGTACCAACAATGAGGCGGATCTGTGAATCCCCCCGCTGTCGAGCCTCCTTGATAGCTTTATCCGAGTATGTTATGGCTTCCTTGACGTACAGTCCGTGCAGATCTAAT